CAGCACGGCTCCTGGGGTTGTGCATGGCGCATGGAGATTTTTGCCCTGCTGTAAACTTCTACCAGAAGGGCTTCAATACAGTGCTAGCACACACAGGAGGGTGCAGTAGTGCTGGCCTCTGGAATCCTGGCAGCAGGATTCTAGAGGCCAAAGCCTCACTGCACAGGGCCATTATGCCTCCAAGAGCTCTTGGTCCTGGTGGGGATACGTGGGAGGGATGCAGCCCAGCTGGCAGCTCCTTATTCTAAACCAAGCTGATAAAAGCAAAAGAAAGAAGGTGACAAAGTCTAATCCTTAAGGTTAATGCCATCACACACCTGGGGGAAAAGGGAAAAGGGGATGTCTCAACCCTAGGAGATATTAAAGCACCCAAAGCCTTTCTACAAGTGTAGTTCAAACAACCTCTGCAGCATCCAGTAATACCCAGCTCAAAGCAATGAAGTTCTCAGGTGTCAGAGCTGACAAACGTCAGTAATGGTGGACTCTACTTGTATGGCATTTTCCACAGGAGCATCTCAAAAGGCTTTGCAATCACTGAGGCACTATGCTCTGCACACCCTTAGGCAGTGGGTAACAAGAATTCCTGGTTTATGCAGACAGAGCAGACATCATAAAGCTGGTACCAGGGGATGGTCACTGCCCAGCACTGCTGGGCTCACCAGCAAAAGGCACTTGTGCAGTGAAGAGCCACGTGCCTTGGGGTCTCACAGTTCACCCTGGCACTGGTCCACATCCACTGGGCCCTGTCACAGAAGGGCTGGGTGGAAACCCTCAGCAGGGGCTTGCTGCCTGGCAACATGCCAGGGTTGTACCAGGAGTGCCATGGGACGGAGATACCACATCACCACCCCTGAGGGGTTAATAACCACTGAGAAGTTGTCTGCTGTTCTTAAGGCCCCAACGATCTTCCCAACATACACGTCTTGTACCTGAAAGAGAGAGATGGAGCTACCAGCAATTCCAGACCTTTCATCTTGGGGTCCAGCTGTAGTCACGGACATGGAATAGTGGGAAAGGGCACAGCAGTGGGCAACAAAAGAGTGACCCAGTGGGCAGCTGCCCCTTCATCCCAGAGGCATGGGGTGAGAGTACTCCCTCTCACCCTCCCAGATCGCATAGAGATCTGGGAAGAGGGGGATCCATGTGCCATGGGACTGCCCTGCTATGCAGTGTGTCAGTGGGGCTCACCTCATACACAGCATCCTCAGGGAAGTGGAGCTTGGCCAGGCTGGTGGTGTAGCGGAAGGGCATGTCTGTCCTGCGGCTGAAGAACACAAGGGCGCTGGCAGCCCGCGACAGTGGGCGCAGAAACACCTCGATCTGGGATTTCTCCTAGGGGTGGGGATAGGTGGGTGAGGCAGAGTTGCCAGGAACAGTGTAACAGAATTCTGACTTTGCCCTGTGGGGCTGCTACACCAGCAGGACCACAATCCCACAGCTCTCTTGCTCCTGTTTCTCTGCATCGCTTCCCTCTCCCTCCTTATTCTGATGCTCTGTGCTACTCCTGTCTGCTCTCCCAAATGCATCTGCTTTCCCCCTAACCTTGACAATCCTGCGCCCCTGGATTCCCAGGGGGTCCTGGTTGATCTGGATCATCAGGCGGTTCTGCAGGATCTCCTTGGCACTGGGGGAGATGGTGCGGAGATCCGTGGACATGAGGAGCGGAGCTGCCATCACTGTCCACAAAGCCATTTGGGAGCGTGACTGCTCGAAGCTAAGGCCAAAGTTTCCAATGATGAGCTGGAGGGGAGACAGTGAAAAGACGGAAGTAGCAGAAAAGGGTTAGAAACTTGTCTGCCTGTCACCTGTGGTGATGCTGCTTCCTGCTGGGAGGGAATGCACAAGGGAAACCTCACGCACACTTTTGCTTCCTCTTAAGTAGTCCACCACTGCCATAGGAGATCTCATCCCTGCTAGCAACATACACTCATTAATACCCTTTGCTTCAGCACTATTTGCCCTAAGGCTGTGCAGGGAAGGACAAGAACACCTGAAGAACTTGAGAGGTAAATTCAAGTGGTGAAGGGTTCATTGCAACCACAGTGGTTTTTCCCACATCTTAGCCAAGGGCAACGCCAGCTTTGCCTCTGCAGCAACAGGACTCCTGCTCCTGGAGCTCTTCCTTTGCCCTGCCCCTAGAAGGGGATCCCTGGAGATGCTCATCCCCAGACAGGGTCCAAGCACCCATCACCCAGCCACACCATGTCCGGGTCGTTCCAGTGGCCGGGGCCAGCTGCCGGCTGCAGCACGTCCTGGTTTGTGAAGAACCAGTCCACAATGGAAAGGACACTCTCCCAGGAGTCCTGGATGTCGTCATAGTTACGCCACAGGTTGCAGATCTCTGCCAGGATGGTGTAGTTCACCTGACAAGGAGAACAGTGTCAGGCAGGAGACAAAAAAGAGCTGCTCTGCAAGGTGGGGGAGGCAGGGGCAGCACTGTTGAACTGTTGAGAGCTGCACTGTCCAGCAAGTGTGTAAAAGACACAGGAATCTGGAGAAGGGCAAGGAGGGAAGGGTAAGGAGGCAAGACAGAGTCATATCCCACTGTGTCTGGGCACACCCCAGTGCTACAGGATGTCTGGCAAAACAACCACTGAGGCCATGGGGAAATCTGATAACTTATCTGCCACAAGAATGAGAGCACCTCAGGACTGACTCAATGAGTGAAAGAGGAAATATCTGAGAGCAACCAATTCTCGAGAAACATATACTAGGAAGATTATCCTATTTCAAGCACTGAAACCAGACAAGATTGTTTCACAAGAAGACTGTCAGGACCAACCCCACACCATCTGATTAGAGTGGAGAGAATACACTCCAGAGCCTTCTTCCCACAAACTCCCATCACCTAGCTGTACTGGGACCCCCAAGTGTCCCCAGGTGCCTGGCAGGAAGGCCACATTCCCTCTGGGACTGCAGCACCATCCAAGGGTGGAAAACTAAGTTGGGTGTAACACCCTGCTCCTGGTGCTCCAGCAAGAGCTCCTCCAGGGCACAGGGGACATGGGAACTTGCCAACAGATGGAAAAACCCCTACCTTGGGAGGAAGACCCCCCTGATATGCTGGCCAGCTGCAGGAGTAGACAATGGGGCGGCCTGTGGCGTTCAAAGCCCTTGCCATTTCTGGGTATCCTTAGGGAGAGAAGATGACAACCAGTGAAGGGGGTGGCTGGCAGCAGCCCATGTCCCAGTAGCAGCCTTTGTCCCAGCCCACCCAGCACGGGGAATACCAGGCTAGCCTGGCTTCCTTCCTTACACCAGCTCCAGGGCACACAAACTCCCGCCTCTTTTCCCAACAGTTGCAATAGGAGGCACAAGGGAAGCACTGGGTGGCCCAGTGTTGCTGCAGAGGGCCAGCTGCCCCACCCCAAGCAGCAGGGAAAGGAATGCCGGAGGCTGGTGAACTTTTACCCTTTGCCTGCTCCTCTGCGGACGAGTAGCACCCATCCAGCTTCAGCATGTCTACACCCCACGCTGCAAAGGTCTGGGCATCCTGCTTCACATTTTCCAACATAGTGCCTGGGTAGCCCCCACAGGTGAAGACGCCCAGGTCACCATAAATGCCCAGCTTCAGGCCTCTGGCATGGACCTGTGAGGAGAACAGAGCTGCAAGGAGCAAATGAAGGGATCCAAGGTGTCTCTCAGGTACCAGACTCCTCTTTTCCTTCCCAGCTCTCCCACCATACTGGCATGGGAACAGAGAACCCCAGTGGCCCCCAGCAGGCACTCACATAGTCAGCCAGAGCCTTAATTCCACTGGGAAATCTCTTGGGGTCGGGAACCAGCTGCCCGGCCGCATCCCGCTGCTTGGCAGACCAGCAGTCATCCATGTTGATGTACTCGTAGCCCAGCTCCCTCCAGCCATCCTCTGCCAGCCGGTCTGCCATCTCGAAGAAGAGCTGCTCGCTGTGGATTGAGGAGGCATGGCAGGCTGAGACCCTGCGACCCTCGTGCCTCAGCAGGTGAGGCAGGCAGAGGGATTTCGGGTTAACTGGGGGCTCTGGAGGGCCGGTCCGGGCCATAGGAGGGTCTCCAGCGCTCCTATTTGAACCCTATCCATGTTTATTGATCTCACCGAGGTGGAAGCATTTCCCCGGCTGCCTGAAAAGCCTGGCCACATCCTTCAGCTCTGGAGGCTCTCCGGCCCAGCACCGGGGCGTCTGTGCCTCCCGCCTCCCATGCACCATCCACCGCGGGGTCCCAGGGACCCAGACGGTGCCAGAGCCATCCCGGGCCTGAAGTTCGACCTGACCGAGCCCCATCCACTGACCTGATGCAGTTGTGGGGATCCGCCTGGCAGTCCACGTTGCAGCGGAACCTCTCCCAGGACATCCAGCCCATGGGGGGAGTGCGCGCCAGCCCGTTCTCCAGGGCCACGGAGGGCAGCGCCACGGCCAGGGCCAGGGCCAGGGCCAGCCCGCTCAGTGCCACCGCCTCCATCGCTGCTGCTGCTGCTACTGCCGCCGCGGCACAGAGCACGGAGCGGCTCTCCCGGCCCGGCCCCGCTCACATGATGCCGTCCGCATCAGCTGACGGACCGTCCACGCCTCCTTCCCTCCCTCCCGCCCGCCCGTAGCTACCGCGCCCCGCCGGTACTGCAGCCCACAGCCGTGCCGCTCCATTAATATCGCTCCCCCACCTGCACCCTGTCCGTGCTGCACCCCACTGTGGCTGCACCCCGTAGCCGGTGCCCATCAGCACTGCGCCCAGCCCGTACTGCACCCCGCTGTAGCTGCACCCCGCTGTAGCTGCACTCCGTGGCTGGCACCCTGTCACCGCCGCCCCCGTGCCTGTTGCACCCCACAGTGACTCGGAGCGGGGGTTTAGGTCCCCCCCAGGTTGCGACCCCGCAGAGGTGTCGGCCTGAGCGAAGGGGCGCGGGAGGACTCGGCTCCGGTCTGGCTGCGGTGTCCCGGCCCCCCCGCTCCCCCCTGGCCGCTGGCGGGGCGGTGCTGCCGGCGCGGCGGGACGGCCCCGGCGGCCGCAGGAGCCTTCCCCGCCCGGCCGCGGCAGGGCCGGGGCCCCGCACCGCCGAGCAGCAGCGGCCGGAGGTGAGCCGGGCCGGGCAGGGGCCGGGGTCCCGCCGGCGCACGGGAGGCGCTGGGCGAGGGCCGGGTGGCGCCGGGGCCGGGCCGGGGCAGGGCAGGGCGGCGGGGCGGGAGCGGCGGCGGGGCCGCGGGGGGCGCAGCCACACGACGAACTCGCCCATGGAGGGGCACAGACACTCACAAAGACACGCAGCCCCATCGCACGGGCGTGCGCCCGCACACAAAGACAGAGCCCAGCACGGCACACGTGGGACCCCCGCAGCCCCCCCGCGTCAGGGCCGGCCTGCGCCGCCCCGGCTGTCCGCAGCACAGTGAGCCAGGCTGGGAGCTCCCCAGGGCAGAGCACCTCCAGGGAGCGAACGGCCTTTCCTTGTGTCTGATCGGGGTCTTGGGCTTTTTTCAGCGGGGGTCCGTGCCCCCATGTCCTCAGCCGTGCCCCACAAGCTCTGATAGGAGAGAGGGGCTCCGGGAGGGATTCTGGATGTTGCTCAGCAGTGGGGAGCTCCTAGCGCCCAGATCCTGGGAGTGGTGGCTGGGGTTTGTTTTCTGCATATTTCTATGTGTGGAGTTTTAGCGGTTGGAAATCCTTTTGCAATTGAACAATGCACAAAGGTTTGTACTGGCTCTGCCCCTCAAGGCTCTGCCCTCCTTGACTTGCTGAGTCGCCTACCAAAGGGCCTCCACAAATGGGGCAGTGACAGCTTCTGCAAAACATTTAGTTTTTTCTTTTAATAAACCCCAAACAAACCCAGGAGCCAGAACACAAACCCACAGGAGCACTGGCCTGAGCTGGGATAGGGCTCAGGCTTTGAAGCAAGTGTATGTTCCCCCAGTTTTGCTATCCCAGTTTCCAGTGCAGCTTACCTGCACTGAGGACCCTGGATTTCTGAGGTGGGAGTGACACAGCTCTTAGCTCTGTCAGTCCCAAACTGTTCTGGTTCATAACTCCTTCTTCTTCATCCTTTTCCTCCTCCAAAGATGGTGCTCATCACGCCAAAGCCTCGGACACCCTCGGCTAGGGAGCAGCCTGGCCAAGGAAGACAGCGAGGGTTTGCAGTCTGACCTGCACAGCTGGTATGGCACCTTGCATCCCACTGCTGGTGAACCTGCTGGAGCTGGGAGTTCTTCCAGGAGGGCTGGTGGGGGTGGGTGGTCCTGCATGGAGACGGGGAGTAGGGAAAGGGGACAGAAGTGTAAGTTCCAGAGCCCTTGGGTCTGAAACACCCTCCTTATCCTGCCTTCTAATAGAGAGCAAAATGAGTGCCTTGCAGGCAGAGAGGCAAATTTCTTTGATGTGCCCCATTAAAAACCAGCAAAGTAGGTCACCTGTGGAATAAGAAATTAAACAGCGGTGTTGGCGTTCACAGGGAAGGCAGGTGTCTGCGTGGTGAGGCTCTGGTAATGACCTCCTCTTTGCAGCAGCGAGGAACCAGCCTGCCCTTTGTAGGGTACCTGCTGGGTTAGACGCTGTCCTGTATCAGTGGCTGCTGGAATAGGGGTTGCTTTTCCCTGGGAGCAGGATCGGGCCTCTTCTGGTGGGGCCAGTGACATGCTCCTCACACCAAGACAACCTCTTCCCCCTCTCTCCTCTGTTCCTAGGTGGGGCGATGAAGCTGAATGAGCGGAGCGTGGCCCACTACGCCACCTGCGACTCGCCGGCCGACCACACCGGCTTTCTGCGCAAGCGGGTGGAGCGGCACCACCACCATGGCACCTCCTACCAGCGCCGCTGGTTCGTCCTCAAGGGCAACCTCCTCTTCTACTTCGAGGAGCGGGAGAGCCGGGAGCCCATGGGGCTGGTGGTCCTGGAGGGCTGCACCGTGGAGCTGTGCGAGGCCGCTGAGGAGTTTGCCTTTGCCATCCGCTTTGATGACGCTGGTGCCAGGGCCTATGTGCTGGTGGCTGACGGGCAGGTTGCCATGGAGGCCTGGGTGAAGGCACTCTCACGGGCCAGCTTTGACTACATGCGGCTGGTGGTGAGGGAGCTGGAGAAGCAGCTGGAGGAGGCCTGCAAGAGCTTGGCTGCTTGCCGTAAGTCTCCAAGGAGGTCCTCCTCTGGCAGGAAGAGGCATCTCTCCAACCCTGCCTTGCAGCCTCTCCAGGAGAAGCCCACCACCCTGGAGAATGGCTACTCCACATGGAGTAGTGGTGGTTGTGTCGCTGGTGGAGCCACCTCCCCTGACCATGATGGGGGGCAAACGAAGCCCCCGCCCCTGCCTCCACGCCGGCGCTCGGCCGCCAGCAGTGCCACAGGATCTCCAGCACCTGGCATCTCACCAGCCATGCTGGAGAGCCCAGTGCCACCAGAAACCATCTGCTTCTCCAAGCTGCACAACTGGTACGGGCAGGAGATCGCAGTGCTGAGACGGGAGTGGCAGGAGAGGCAGAAGAGGGGACACCCGTGACTGGGGGCACAGGACACAAGTCACTGGCCAGCTGATGCCTGGAAGCCTGTCCTGCATGCAGGAAGAGTAAAGTGAGGGACACTGCTTTCCCCCTGCCCTCCTGAATGGCTGAGTGTGATGTGTGTATGCTTCACTTGGGAGGGACTCAAATCTCTAAACCTCACATTTAATTTCCACGAGGCTTTATACAGCTTTATACTGGCTGTATAAAGCCTCGTGGAAACCAGGGGAGCCACCTTTACTTAAACTCTCTTTGCTGGAAATAGGAGCTGCCCAAATCAGCAATGAAACTCAGCCAACAGGCTTGGCCACTTGCTGTCCTGACACAGCGGATGCTCTGGGTGTTTCACCCCTACCTCTCCTTCACCACTTTTTTTTTGTTGTTGTTGTTTTGTTTCTCAGTGTGGAAGTTTGCTTTTGGTCAGTACTTATTACTGTCTGTGGTCTTGTGCCAAAGTCCTTCTGCCTTTGTTCTTTTGCTGCAGATAAGGCTGGGCTCTCGTGAAGTGCCTCTGACAGGCCACTGGCCCTGGCGCGTGCCTCCAGCCTTGTGCCTCTCTCGCTACAGGACACGTGAGCCTCTGCAGCTGTTGCTGGCACAGCAGCTGGGGCTTTTGCATAGTTTTTTTGCTTTCATCTGCACTAACCCTTCTTTCAGCTAAATCCTTCAGGATGTAGATATCATGGTCTTGCAACAGTCTCTTTATGTGCTCATACTCAGCAGCAAGCCTGAAATGGAGACACAGAGCTTGGCCTGAAGCCTCAGAAGCACACCAGGAGCACCCCAGGGCTCATCTGGACTCTGTCAAGTGGTAACCAAGCCTGCTAATATCTCTGGCTCAAGGTTTCCCTGTTCCTATACAGGGATGCTCAAGCCTCTTTGCCTGGGCAGGAGTAAATGTCTCAGCCTTTGTTTAGAACCACAGCCCCTGCAAAATGCCATGGAGGGCTCAGTCAGCTCATGGGGCTGCTTGCCCAGGAGAGTGTCCAGAGCCACGCTCCTGCAGGGCCTCTCTCAGTGCTGTGGCTCTGCCCAGCTCCCGGCAGTGCTGCGCAGTTGGAGGAGAGGCTTTGAAGGGTGGGGAGGGAGAGGGGCCTGGTTCAGGAGGAGAAGTGAAGGTGTGGGAGTGAGTTATGGGTGTTGGCAGTGTCCAGGCTTGCCTCTCCAGTGTCAGAGCCATGTCGTTGCCTTCTACCAAGCCTGCACCCGGCCTGCTGGCGCTTCCCTCTGACTCCATGTCAGCATTGCTTGGCTGATCTCTGCAGCACATCCTGTCCTCCCAGCGGGCTGGGAGGGCTGCAGGGAGGGCACGCCTGTCACCTCACTGTGGAAACACACTTGTCCATCAGTAGGTCACAAACCTTGGCCACAAGGCACACGGTACAAATAGGTGGGTGCCAAGCCCAGGGACTAGAACACCCTTGGGATGGGATTTAAAAATCTCCCTTATCTAGTTGCATGCTTCCCATCTGAAAACATTTAAGCTGTTTTTATTGTCCTTTTTTATTAAAGAGCTTTGCTAGGAAAGAAAAAGCCCATTTCAGATCATGACTGGCTGGAACCTTTCTGGCCTTAAATACACTCAGCTTCCTACTTTGCAATGGCCTATAGAGATAGCCAATGCAGAAATGAAATTAATTCTGTTAACTCTTGGTGCCTTTTAAAATATGTCTCTGGTAGTTTTGGATGATGAGCTTCCAGCCTCCTGCCTAATTATAGCTTAATGGTATATTAGAGGAAATCAGATCTTAAATTAGATCTTACAAATGACTTTGGGCAGTGAGAATGTAACCTTCACTTGGGAGTAACACAATCCAGTCCTCTCCAGTTCATGGTTGTATTACTTCACAGCAAGGGTCTTCAAATTCGGGAGGATTCTTTTTCTTCGGCTTTTGTGAAAATATTTCAGAAAAATTGGGAGCAGGTGGCCATGGGGCAAGGCCCTGGCTTCCTCAGCAGCTTAGCTGGTTGGACGTAGGGGCCATTTCTGCCTCCCTATCCTGCTGCTTGAAAAGTTCGGTACTGCAGCATTCCTGGCTGCAAATGTGTCCCTTTTCCCATGCCAGGACAGCAGCATCAGGGGATTGCACTACCTGTGCCTCCTTGCTCTGAGCATGGGTATTTTGGGACCAAGGTCAAATAAGTATTTTCCTGTGGTTATATTTTTTTAGTGTAATACAGAGAGAATATTCCTGATGTCTCAGATTAATATAAGGCAGATTGACAGTAAAGACCCAACTTCCAAAACAAATCAAAATGTAGCGGCAGTTCCTACGTGAGACCCAAGAATTGGGAGTGACTTGAAAGGGAAGATAAATTAACAAAGCCAGTTCTGTCAGAACTGAATCTGAGACAGTATTATTCATTTAAGGGCAGTTTCACTTTTAAGAAGCCTAGTGTGTTTTAATAAGCCAGGATTGTGCTCGTAACACTACTAAAGAGCTTATATTTAATGCTTTAATCTGTCCCATTCAAACAGCACAATTTCCACGCTACCTACCTTTGCGTTAGCCCATATCCCAGTTAAATCCCAAATCCTGCAAATGAGGCACTGCGCTCTGCTTCCCATCTCAGTGCGTTTGGAATCATTCTGTGTTTTATTCTGCAGTGCTGACAAGAAAATGGCTCAATCCTGATCCACATTTATGCTCAGCCCAGCCATCCATGCCTGGGCCTTTGGATGGGCTTGATCAGGGTTTCCTCACCCCCCCACTGTTGTAGCAGCCATGTTGGAGCCTTGCCCAAATTTGTGTAGGAGTACAGATTTTTTAATGATCACTGCCACTTGCTTCATTAGGCAGGAAGCACCTGAGTGCTGCCCTGCCTCCTCAGAGATGGGGCTATGGAGCCAGCCCAGCTGAGTTGCTTGTGCTGGCAGTGCCTTTGAAGCAGTGCCTTTGAAGCAGCCCCCAGGCAGGAGGTCGGGATTTCAGCTTCCTGGGGTTGAACATTCAGCTGGCTAATGGAGCAGCCTGTCTGTCTTCCTGCAGGCAGAGGTTGTTACAGGAAAGGCAGGGAGTTTTCATTGCACATTGTCCCTGGCAGCAAAATAAGGCTGATTGCCACCCAGGGTTTTTCTCCAGTCGTTCAAGTTTGGACTGTTTGGACGGTTTCATCACCTGCCTCCACTTTCCCTTTTTAGTTTCAAAAGTAGAGAATGTCTATCTAAACAAGTTCCTAGGCAAAGGGGGAGCTGAACACTGAAATTGAATGGGTACTTTACTTGAAGTACTGAACTAAGATCCTTTTCTAAGAGTTTTCTTTAGTGCACAAGTGATGAGAGGAAGGTACTGAAATGTAAAAGAAATTGAAAGAGGAAGGGCAATTCTGACATGGCCTGCTAAAATAGTTGATTTAATCCTTACATTTTTCTGAGGCTAGCATTTCATATTTGAGCCCGTTTTTTGGCTACGGGGTGGACAATAATGACCAAGATCAGGCGTTTTGTGTTACAGTAGCTACTGCACTAACAGTGCCTGGGGGAGCTACCCCTCAGTGTTACCTCTCTCGGCTGCCTTTGCAGAGAAGCTGAAAGCAAGCCCCACTGCAAGGCACGGGGCATCTTTCACCAGCAGCACCAAACTCGTGTTCTGTCCGCACAATCACCTGGAAAACACTACGAGCGAATCCTGCCTTTCCAAGTGCTTCTGTTTTAGGTAGGGCCTGTTCCCTGTTTTAGGAGATGGTTTTGCATGCGCCTGTTGTACACGCGGAACTTGTATTATACATTACATTACATTGTTTAGAGTTTGTTTTACACGCGGAACTTGTATTACGCATCCTATTACATTGTTTAGAGTTTGTATTTTATGTCGCGAAGCCGAATAAACCGGTTTGATTTGTAGCCCGTGCCCTGTTAATAGATCCATGGAGCCCCTAGCGTGTCTGCAGGGCCTGGCCATTCCCCCGGCCCGGTTTTCCCTTACCGGGAGGCGGCGGGGACAGCCCTGGCCCTCCGTCCCGCGAGGGCACCGAGAACGCCCAGAGACCACGGGGGGCGCGGCCTCACCTGCGCATGCGCAGTGCCGACAGCACCGCCTCCCCACAAGCCTCGCGAGATCCTAGGTGACGCCTGGGCTGGGCCGCGACTCGGGGCAGGCGGGACGATGGCAGCGGCAGCCGGGCGGCTCCTGGCGGCCACCGTGGCTCGCTCGGGGCGTGCGGGCTGGGCCGGGCCGGGCCGGGCCCCGGCCTTGCCGCTGGTGCCCTCCCGGGGCGCCACCGTCACCCGCAGCGGCGCCATTTTGCCCAAGCCGGTTAAGGTGAGTGAGGGGCGAGCGGGCGGAGGCGGCAGCCACGGGTGGGAGCGGTCACCAATCGGTGCGGGCGCAGCTGTTGTGGGCGGGGTCGTGGAAGTGAGTGACAGTGTCTGGGACCAATCAGCGGGGGGCTGCGGGCGAGAATGCGGAAGCGCTGGGCAGCGGGAGGGAGACGGGAGCGGCCCCCGAGTGTGCGGGGCTCGCCGGGCCGGTGTCCCCCGCGTCCCCCCCGGGTCAGGCAGCGCTGCGACGCAAGGGGGACATCAGTACCCGCCTACGCGCCGCCCTTTGTCACCGACGGCCGCCCCCCCTCCCAAGTCACGGGTGTTCCCTGCCCCGGGCTGCCCGCTCGCTGGTAACGATATAATAAATACGTTTGTAACGCTATAATAAATACTCTCATAAAGCGCGGTGCGGTGACCGGGACTTGGCACCGGGGACGCAGATCGTTCTGGGAGCCGCTTCTCGGCTCCTCCGCGCGCCTGGGGAGCCGGGAGTGCGCCGGTTCAAAGTCGCCAAAGTGCGACTTGCTTGGATGTAAAGATCCACTTTTTACATCCTTGCAGACACCCTTCGGACTCCTCAGAGTGTTCAGCGTCGTGATCCCTTTCCTGTATGTTGGCACTCAGATCAGTAAGAACTTTGCAGCCCTACTTGAAGAACATGATATCTTTGTCCCAGAGGATGACGATGACGATGATTAAACGGTATGTCATTAACTACACCAGCAATCTAATTATTTATGCTTCCCGTTTGGCTTGGGGCAGGGAGGAGAATCTCAGACAAGGAAATACAGCCAGCAACAGCTTAAAAGATGTACTTGCAGTTAAACACATGGACACAGATATAGCCTTTGGCTATGAACTTTTTTGTTTCATAGCAGAGTAGGCCAGACTGGTGTCTGTGCAATCTCCATGCCATGCATTTCTTAGAGACTGGAAAAAGTGATGGTGTTTTAGATCTTGCTAGCTGAATCAGAAATAAAATGTAGTCAATGAGGGTCTGTACTGCAGACAACAGAGAGACTTCAGTGTTCCTACATTACATACACACCCAAAGAATGACAGCAGAGCTGCTGAGGAGTCTGAAGCACACCTGCTATGAGGAGTGGCTGAGGGAGCTGGGGCTGTTTAGCCTGGTGAAAAGAAGGCTCAGGGGAGAGCTTATCACTCTCTACAACTACCTGAAAGGAGGCTGCAGCCAGGAAGGGTTCAATCTCTTCCCAATTAACAAGCAACAGGACAAAAGGAAATAGCCCCAGGTTTTGCTAGGGAACGTTTAAATTGGATATTAGAAAACATTTTTTCAGGGAAAGGGTTGTCCAGCATTGGACCAGGCTGCCCAGGGAAGTAAGTGGTGGAGTCACATGCCCTAGAGGTATTTAGAGGAGGTGTAGATGAGGCACTTAAGGACATACTTAAGCAGTGGACTTGGCAGTACTGGGTTAGCAACTGGGACTCCATGAACTTGAAGGTCTTTTCCAACCTGAACGATTCCATGATTTTGTTCTACTTGTTTACCTGTTTAAAAGTCTTCTCCTAACTCACAGAATGACTCTTAAAACAGAATCATGTACTGTCTGAAATTCTGATATAGGTGAACAATGTTAGAGCATTCCAGAACCCATCAGAACAAACTGTCTGCTGGGTGTTACAACATTGGAGTAGTTGGACCATTCAGACTCATTGCAGAAAGGAAGAATGGAAATAATTCACCTTTATCTGCACTGTGCTACACTTTCTACCATTTTCCATTATTCTGTTTAGCTTGCTCTTGTGTAAAGATTTGAGTTTGGGTGTATTTCTTTATAGAACAAAGAAGCTGCTTTAGAGAAGTTGTTGTAAATCATGTAGATTTACAGTCAGTTTGGTGGGTGTATTCCAGTTGATAAAGGGGCTTTCCAGCATGCACTGTGCAGCTAAAAGCTAAGACTTAAAAGATTGCAAAGACTGCACTGGCCTGTTGTTAACTCCCTTTATGTAAACCCCATCTTGTGTAGTTTTGGGAGGAGGATGCAGACTGCAGCTCAGTAGTGTATCTGTAACACCTTGTTTTTCTATTTGCAGCACTGGAACAGAAGAACAGAAAGGAGAAAGCTATTGACAAAACAATGGTTCCAACATCTGTCCCCTGTGTTTTGCCCTTCCCAAAGGGGACAGGGGGCTTTGTATCCCCTTTTGCCAGTGAGTGTCCTGCACATCTCTGTATGCTGGAAATCTGTAATCAGGGTTGAAGAAGTGCTTGATAGGCCCTGCGTCCTTGCACACACATGCTCACCTCATCAAAGACTGCTTGGGATGCCTTTAATTAGCAACATGGGAAACAATTAAAGACCCAGAGATTGACATGTGCAACTTTGGTCCTGTGTTTTTATACATTATTTGCCTATGTCCTAGCACTTCTGTCTTAACCTTTCTATCTCTGGATGTCGGTTCCAGTGGGGAGACTCTCTTCATGCTTACTTTCTCTTTTGAGTCCTTTCAGAAACTCACTACTCATCTACAGGACATGTGGAATCCTAGGGGAAGCAGCAGCCCCACAACACAGCCCTGTTAAAGAATGGAGTGCACATTGACAATGGCACTGTTCAACAACCTAGCAGCTGTATCTGATGAGGACTGTGTCATGAACTTCACCTCACTGAAGATGAACAACAGTATTATCATCACAGAGTTAAAACTCTGAGTGGCTTTGGTAAAGGGTTGAGATCACAAGTTGCAAATGAACTTGTTCATGTGTTTTATAGCATTTCGTCTCTGAATGCTGGCTCCAGGTATCCAATATTTCCTAGGTAGTTCAGTACTTCCTTCTGAAAGAGCCCTAAGGTATTTGTCTTCTTCACTGTATGAACTTCAGCTCCTCTTTTCATAAAAGTGTTTGCTATTGCACTTAAATCCTTGCATCATAGACTTTAAAGGTCTCCTTTGCTGTTACGGCACAGGAAGAATATCTTTAGTCACAGCAGACCAGCTGTTCTCTCAAAATGATACCTTGAGAGGTTGGTCAATTATTTATTTTTCTTAAGCCAGCACTGCCCCAGTGTCTTATGGTTTCTGGTCACTAGGTCTGGCCTCTTGATTGCCCACTTCTTCCTTCCTTATTGGTGTTGCTGTTGAACTGGCAGCAGTGTATAGTTCCAACACCACATTTGTTCCCTTACTTCTCTGGCACAGTTTTTAATGTTTGCTCAATAACTCTCCAGCATGGCTACTAGAGAAAAGGGAGCCTGTAATCTGAGTAACCCCGAGAGCTGCAGCTAAAGGCAGCTGTTAGGTTCTTGAGTCACTTGGTGTCTGAGTTGCCCCCTCCATGCCCAAAGCCACCTGAGAGGCAACTGTTCCAGTTTATCTGTTCTTGGGAGCCAAACATGTACCTACTTCTGTTTTAGATGCTGCCAAAATCCTTTTCACTGCTTTGTCCCTCCTGGGCCCCTCCTGGCTTTGTCAACCCTGGAGGCCCAAGGCAGCTATGTACACGTCCCTGAGGAGTGCTGTGTTACAGTCCTCATGGGGAAGAAAGCCCCAGGACTTACAGGATAAAAAGATGTTTATTTAGGCTGGAAAAAAGAATTTTTAGTTTACTGCAAACATCCAGTGCTGGGCACATCCGGAAGAGCACCCAGTTACTTGCTGAAAACCTGTTCTCTGCTGAGAGAATAAATTCTCCTTATCCCTCTCAAAAGGGAACTAATAATTCCTGATTCAGTGGATGAGGTAATGGTGGGACACCTTCTCCTGCTAGGCTTCAGAAGCTGTTACAGAGCCTTCCTATTCTGGAAAACAGTACAAATCCCCTTTTTCCAGGTAGTTTCATTTTACAGCAGAGAAATAGACTCTGCTGATGTTTTATTACACAAGGATTTATTTGCCTACCATTAGGATATTTTCTCTGGGAGAAATGAAAGAGACTAATGTCCAATATAAAACACAAGGTCAACAAAGTCATAGGATGAAATTGCAAGACACTGCATGAATACACTGCAGTGTCTTGCAATATCCCTAGCATACCCCTCAAGCACAAGAACATTTCTGCCCTTTTCCTCACAGAGCTAACATCTACAGATGGGGCTGCAGGCCAAGCACAAAGACCAGGAGCCAGGCTGTGTTGTGGTTATTCAGCAGACACCCCAGGGCAAGTGATGGGATAAATGCCATCCACTGAAAATACACACTGGCAAAACTAGGACATGACAACTCTTCAAACAGATCATAATCGCTTGCACATGCTCTGGATTTGCCTAGTCATTAAGCTCCTAAGATGCTAGAGAATCTCTTGGTATGGATTTTTTTTTCTATTGTATAGAACTTTATTTGTAATATAAGGCAGGAAGACACAGAGTCAGTTCCTCAGGGATTGTGGCCCGCATAGAATTTGGACAGAAAGTCTTTAGGTTGCGGGGTTTCCGTCTCGTGGAAGTACCTCATGACATGAGTCCTCTGCTTCCAGACATGAATGGTTTCTTGAAGCTCCATTTTTCCCTGCACACACACAAAAGAATTTTAGACTAGTTGGCAGTTAGAGCCCAAGTCTAACCACACAGTACTGAGAAAGTTATTTGAGTGAACTTAAAAACACCTACAAAAATAATAGCTGCATCAACAGTTCTGTACTCCTACAGCCTGCGTGCATTACCTGCACTGTGACACAAATATACTGTTCCTGCCTTGGGACTTCCATGGATTTCTCTGCAGCACAGCTTCCCAGCCCTGTGACACAGGCAAGAGACTCTGTCCCCTTCTTAAAACCTGCTTTGTTTCTTTCCTGACCCACACCTCCCCTAAAATTCTACACAACATTCCTAACTTTCAAGCACCTCTACTGAATTTGGGTGAACAGCAACACTTCAGCTGTAAAATTAACTGCTGCCAAGTGCTTTGCACCAGTATCACTGCCACTGAGACGTGCAAATTCTTCACAATTCCATTCTTTTGTACTCATTTTATAGGATGGTAGCACAGCAAAATGAGACTGCCTGGAACTGTCACCTAGCATACTATCTAAGACTTTGTTTCCAGATTTTTTCATCACGTAAAGTCAGAGTAATTGTCTTGAAATACAAGAAACAAAACAGGTGAGCATGGCAGTCATTGTTTGGAAGCTTTCTAATGCATTAGAATTGCACAGGTGAGTTACTGTTGCTCAGACACGTTTTGAAGCCTGAGGTGCTGATTATTGCTTTGAAGCATCTGTAACGCACCATGAGATGTGTTACAGAGCCAGAGTGTTCTGCCACCCAAAACCAACTTCCCACCAAGTACTGACACTGTAATATATGTTTCAGAATCAGTGAAGAAAACTATTTTCCGATCCAATGAAGTACTGTAGAGGGAAGAAAGTTCATTTTTAATAGTAAACTAGTGAGCAGCACCTATTTTCCCTTTGATTGTTGTTGTTAAAAAAAGGGCGAGCAAACAACAAAAAAAAAGGAACAAGCTTAGTGTTAGTTAATTGTCGCTTTGCTTGACATACACTTGCTGAATTCTAAAGCCACCTGATCCCTTATCAACAGGTTTGCTGACACAGATATTACCAATCCAACTGCAAAAGACAACCACTCCACAGACAGGCTGATACAAAGTTGTTCCTCTCCTCCATCACACTCACCACCATCAGCCATATTCTCTGCAGCTTCAACAAATCAGAAGTAACAGTGTGTACCTTAATAACCAGCATGTCTATCACGCGTGGATCCGTAACGTGGGCGTTCTTCATGAACATCTCCCGCACCTTGTTCCGCCCCTGTTTCACCGTGATGTCCAGCTGGTACAGGTGCACTAAGAGAAACACAACACCTACTGCGGTCATCCACGTCGTTCTGCACTTGTTCCACCAGCAACGCGCAACTCAACCCTAAAAATCGCTACACTGTCACTCGTTCGGCTTCACCAATGTCACGAAGGCCGTTCCGACCTTGAGCCCGCGCGGCAGGCCCCGCGTCCCTCACCCACCCGTGTTGGGCACCTCGCGGTACCAGGCCCGGTACAGCTCCCTGACGCGCCGCTTCGCCTCGCCCAGGTCCCGGCTGAAGATCGGCTTCACGGCGGCCGATACCACCCCCTTGCCAGCCACCGCCATCTTGATGCCACCGCCACCTCCTCCACCGCCCGCGGGAGCGCACAGGGCAGGGCAACGGCTGCTATTGGCCGGCTGAGCTGCCACTCCAGCCTTTTGGGCCGAGCGCCTCCCATCTGACTGGTCAGAAGAAACGCCAATCACCCAATCACCGTGCTACAAGGGGCGGAGCAGCTGCTGGCTGGGCCCACACAGGGCCCCGCCTCCTGAGGCCGTGGGTCTGCCCCGCCCCTCGGAGCCTGCTCCTCCCTCAGGGCAGGGCTGGGGCTGTGATTTGGAGCGAGTCATTTGTTCCCTTTGCCGTGGAATGCCGCAATCGGGTGCTGTTCGGTCAGACAAGTGGACTTTCTCTCAGTCACTCTTGCATGCTGGAAAAGACGCTCCCTACTTTAGCTATACCCCCTCAGAGCCGGCTTCTCCCTCAGGGCAGGGCTGGGGCTGTGATTTTGAGCAAACCATTTGTTCCCTTTGCCCTGGAACACTGCAATCGGCTGCTGTTCGATCAGGCAAGTGGATTTTCTCTCTGTTACTCTTGCATGCTGGAAAAGATGCTCCCTACTTTAGCTATACCCACGTTTTATCCAAATAAGCGAGTGCCGGAAACTCTCCAAAGTTAATTTCCCTTTAAACACACTGGGGAATGTGCTGGCCCCTATAAATCTGAACACATGCAGTTTGGTGTCACTGAACAGACCAGAAAAGTAACACTGAAATGATCTTGAAAGGCACAGGTGCTGGGTGTGAGGAGAGAAATCTCAGGTGAGTATCTGAGGCAGGAGCACAGAAGGACTGAGGCAACCAGAAAGAGGAGGGGAGAGAAATGAGATTTCGCATCACTTTTATTCTTTCAAGTTATTTTATCGATGAAAAGCATAAATGTGCAAATGTGCAGATCCTGCTGAAGTTCAGATCTTAATTTTGTTAGTAAGTATATGCATAATTCCATAGCTTTCATAGCTTCCAAAATTACTATTACACAAAATAACTACTCCACACGTGCACTCAATTTCAGATTTATTTATTTATTTTTTTAGTGGTGGTTATATGTAGGAGCTCCTTTGTGCTACTATCTCTTTAGATATGATAAGTGGGCTACTCCTAATTTAAACATCAGCATATCTTTATATCTTGCACACAATTTGTCAGGGATATTGCAAGAAGAAAGAGAGAGGCAGCTCTGAAATCTGTGGCCATACAGTTTCAAACAGTGTTAACTCCATCCCAAGGTGAGTTCCAAACCTGTCCAAGAGCTGACTTTATGTAATGCCAAAAATAAAAAATAAAAATTAATTGAAGGAGATAATAAATCTAAACACCAGGATTTCTCTTTAAATGTATTTATAGAAATTTCTGTATTTTAAAAAGGACCTTCTTCTGTGGCTACAACACCATCTGGATTATTTATGTACTCCTTGGTATTTACTCCTACTGGAGACATAGTGTGACATAAGGGCTGTCAGGATTAAAACTTACTTTCTTTGAGGCTAGAAATGAAGACAGTGCAATATTTGTTCAACACACAGAAGTGTGTAATAAACAGGAAGGAATGAAGGGGACATGAATGTCCTGGATGGTAAGATTTTCCAGAAGCACTACACTGAAACTACGTTGTAATGTCACCTTGTTATTGAAGCTGAAGCTCTCTTGTCTGATTCAAGAAGCACAACTAGAATTAAGCTCAACAAGATAGTGGCCTAGGTCCTTACTTTACACAGCTGTGGCTTCTGCAGAGACTTGAGATTGAACGTGGCATGATCCTGCCTAGACCTGCAATGCTCCTGACAGAGTTTGGGCAGTGGTGGTCTGTCAGTGAAAGGGGAGTGGTGTGCACCTATCTTGGGAGAGCTCGCAGCAGGTATGGGTGTGGAGAGTTGGTGAGTGCAAAGTGACCGTCCTGCCGTGGCCTGGGCTGGTCCTCAGGGAGCACAAAAGTGAATTTCTGCAGGAGAGTGGTAAAGAAGAGAAAGAGCTCCATCCTGGCCAGCTGTTCTCCCAGACAGGCACGGCGACCTGCAAGAAAGGGAAGAGGAAGTGTGTCAGAGAGGGCAATAATCGATGCCGGAACTGCCACGGAGGGACCGGATTACCCTCCAGCTGTTCTTCTGACCTGCAGCTGGATCCTCCCCTCAGATTTACCTGCTGAGAAGGGCAGGAAGGCCTCTGGTTTCACAAACTGCCCCTTTGCATCCAGGAAGTGTTCGGGGTAAAACTCATTTGGTTTCTCCCAGACTGTCTCATCCTTCAGCACCGAAGACAAGTTGGTGATGATTGTCGTCCCCTGCACTCCCCCACAAGAGGAAACAAGTGAGACCAGCAGGATTATCTTGGCACAAGAGTACTGGTCCCTCTTTAGTCCCTGACTGCCAGCTAATAGCCCCCATTTCCACTTCTGCATCTTATTTGAAGCAGAGGTAAAGGAGGGCCCTTTTCCAATGGCATTTGGTGCCTGCCCTACACTCTGAAGCACCTGAACTTTTGCAATTTGTAGCCTTACAGAGGCTGTAGCGTGCAAATGCCAATTTCACGGTTACACAGTGGAAACAGCCTCTGCTTCTCAGATCCTCCTGGACTTGTTTTAGAGCTGCAGAGAAAAAGCTGACTGACAGACTTCAAAGCCCAGCTTTTGCAGGGACCAGGGAAAATTGCAAAGCTTTCCTGTTTCACATGTCAAGGTTCTAAATCAGAGGAGATACCACACGGCTACAAAAAAATCCCAGGCTTAAATTCTGCCACTGCTCCCATGGCAGCTACTTGTCACAATGAAACTGGCCTGAATGCCAATGGCATCTGAGTAGCTTCAGAGATTAGAATTTAACTACTAGCATCTCAGGAAAGCCAGTAAGCTGGTGTTCAGTGCCTCCAGAGAGTCTGTTAGGCTGCTTCTGACAGGCAGTGAATATCACAGCTCATTGAGAGGAAAGGAAACCTTTGCACTGAGCTGCCATTGCAGTTGTGTTCCCATACAACAAGTGTGAGCCTAGAACACAGATGTGACCGTCTGCCTGAATTTAGCATTTCAAAATTAGTGCTCAGCAGTGACTGTAATTGGGGCTGGAAGTGCAATGCTGCAGGGTTGGATGGGATCATCCCCACCCTGTGCATGGCAGCTGCAAAAGGAGAGGTTGCTGTGTTGCTTGTGTGGTCACAGTCACCTTGGGAATAAAGAAGCCTTGCAACTCGGTGTCCCGGTATGTCATGTGAGGTATCCCAACAGGAACAATATCCCCACAGCGTTGCACTTCATGGATCACAGCATTAGTGTAAGGCATGCTTGCTTGGTCCGTCATGCTGGGCGGCCTCTCTCTGCCAATCACTCTATCAATCTCTGCCTGGACCTTACCTGAAAGCAGAAGAGATAAAGAATTAGAGGACCCTTAGAGAACCAGAGGCAGCTGGTACAAGCTGAAGGAAGACTGGCTGCAGGAGATTGTAAGCACTGTGTGAGAACAGGACAAGCAGTTAGAGACAGGAAGGCATTTTTCAGTTGATTAGTGGCTATGTATAACTGTTCTTTGCTTATAGCACCCTTATTAAGGCCTTGCCACTTGATATGCTACCTTACCCCTCCTCTATGCAGCCTGGATAAGCAGCATTAGAGAATTTAAACCAATCAGCATCTGTTCCAAATATTGGAAGAGCCTACACTGACCTCAGCCAGTCCTCAGATGAAGCTCTCAAAATGAAGGCAAGAGCAAACTTGCCGTTCAAACTCCAGTCTTTTTATCATGGCTACCCTGTGCCAGAACAGCTGTTTGGGAAGTGTTTCTCTTCTGTGTCTGCTACACCAACAATCATCAAAGCTGTTCCTGATTGCAAAATCCTTGTGGAAAAATGACTCTTGAAAGGAAGAGGCTCCACTTCTGCAGGTAAGTTTCTGACTTACTCTGTATTTCTGGATGGAGAAGCATGTACAGCAATGCCCACCGGAGAGTGGTGGAGGTGGTCTCAGAACCAGCTGTGAACAAGTCCAGGGTCACCAGACGAAGGCTGTTATAGTGGAAACCATTCTCTTCAGCTGCCTTACCCTGTGGAGAGCAAAAAAGTGAGTGATTGCAGCTGCGGTAATTGCTGGGAAAGCACTTCCAGAGAAGTGCTGAGAAGCACTAGATCCATTTTTTAGCATGTGTTCCTGCTTTTTATTGGGAGACTAGAGCACAGCACAAGCAAAAGTCTGAGCATGAGGGATGTACTTTGTAACTCGGTTACCTCCTGTATTTGAAGGCCCTCAACCACCTCCAGTATACTCAGAGAAGAATGCTACTCCTGCCTTCAGGACAGAAGTAAACACCTTGTGCCTTCAGCTCAAACAGACAGCAGGCCCTTGCCACTCACTGTAACATCTTCCCCCAGAGGAAGTGGAGCACACTTATTCAGGTTTGATCAGATGATAAAAGCCACAGAGGAGAGAGGAGGCTTCATTGATGTGGCAAATGCAAAATTAGCATTATTTTAAGTGGGTTATCTCTAGCTGTGCATTACAGATTCTCGCTGCTCCTGCCCTGGTGTTTTCTTACTATTGAAAAATAAAAAAAGATCGGGGCTATCAGGTGAAAGGATTATTGCTTCCTACTAAATCTGCAACACCACTTCTAGCAAAACTGGTCTCCCATCCAAATGCTAATTGAGCTCAAATTTGTTAGCATATGAGATATGACAAGTTCTCTGCATGAGTTCACCTGCTTGTCTTTTCTAATCCTCTCTATACTTCCCTTTCCTAGGGACTAGCTTCTGTTAAGTTACTCTGTATATTTAGATGCTGTTGTAATATGGATAGCAATTAATAATGCATTTAAGACTCAACTGTTATTCCAAGAAAAGATCTCAGACAAGGGAGTTTGGGACAGACTTGACCCAAGTTAACTCAGGAGAGGGATTTATCAGACTGGCTTTCAGATGATGTTAGTGAACAGAAGAGAGATGTGGCAAGAGGCAGCACCCACTCTCAGGCTGTACTGCTCAATGCAGAGTAACGTGGGTCACGTTGCTCTGCCCATGGGCTGGAGGTGCCCGATCCCCACAGCATGGCAGGGTTTGTAGTGCATAGCAGCAGTGCAGTCTGAGGACTTGGATGGGGGAAGTGATTTGCAAGCAGAATTTGGTAATATTGCTCATCTGGCACTTGAAATGTAGTGAATCCATGTGCAGAAACATATGGCAGATGGACAGACCAACCCAAATATCTTTGACTTTATACTGACTTTGTGCCTGACTGAATTCAAAGAAAGACTCCTTTTAATTTCAGTGAAGTTCAGAATTTAGGCCTTCCTCTGAGATCTAGCAAACTACTTCTTAGCAAGCAATAGAAATATATATATATATCCCAAAGGAGACACTGGTTTCAAATCATATCTTGGTTTAAAGGCAGCCTATGGATGGGGCAATGACTCCAAAAAGTCAGGCCGTTGCTCCATTTTTTCACTGATGTTGAGGCATCAGTCATTGAGGCACTGACATTACAGAGAACCTTGCATGCTGACTTGTTCCCTAGTGCAAACTTAGGACATTTAGCGAATTCTCAATTATTGCCTTTTAGAAGCCTTCATATTTTTGTAGGCTGGAAATAGGAAGTTCCTAGATAATAAAGGAAGTGTGAAGGCAGGAAATGGAAACAAGGACATCAATAGATAACATGGTGTCCTAAGACAATAAAAGAGGTTCCGCATGAAGAATACCTTTCTTCACAAGGTACAGCATGGAGTGAAAAAGTAGGAAATCAGTTGGTAAGAGGTTTTGTGCAGCTCTAGGAGGAAAGTCAGCTTCACAGGTTTGAACTGGCCAAGAAACTACTCCTGATCCTGGAGGGTCTGCTAGTATCACCCTACCTTCTCCATTTCCTTTAAAAATACATCTGTGATATCTCGGGTGTAAGCAGGGTCCCAGGTCTTCACATGTTTATCAATGGCCACATCTATGAAGTCCATGACCTCTCTTTGTGCTCGAAAAAGCTTCTGTGCCACTCCAGGGATCCGCACCAAAATGGGCACCACGTTAAGAAGCTGGGGTGTGAGAACCAAAGAGGGGACAAAGAAAGAGAGAGGAGATATTTATTACATGATGCAAAAAAAGAAAAATGAGGAAAACACAATTCTCTCAAGTAATAGAGGGCAGCTTCTTACAGCTTGTGGCGTACCTGAGGCAGGAATCCAGTTTCCTGATCCAAAGAATTTTGAAATAGCCATGACAGCTTCTTGAATGTCTCATCACCATAGTCAAAACGGTCTCCAAAGACAATGTGGCAGATCATGTTGCAGACAGCATTATTTAAGGGAACATGTATATCAAAAGATTTACCTGAAAATGGCAATGGAGACCAAGCCATGAAGCTCAGCAACACCAAACTGCTGAACCTCATCTGCAAGCAGTGAGGATACACAAATGCCACCTTGATGACACCAGGAGAAAATGCCCCAAACCACTCAAAGCATCACTCTAGGAAGTGAAATAATCTCATTCTTACTAGTATTTAGTTGCTCTATGTTTAAAGAAGAAAATTCCCAAGAAAAACTGAGCTGTGGTGCTGCTCTGTGACTTGACAGGTAACTCTTTGTTCTGTGTCTGGATGACAGGCTGTGAACTCTCAGCTGCACTTTTATTGCATGTTATAATATCAGTATGTTCCACTAAACTTCATCAATCAGAGTTACTGAGCTCTGGGAATAACTCTGTTTTACCTCTCTATTTCTAATTTCCTATTTATTTACTGATTCAAATGGATTAGTGTTATTACAGTAGGCCCACTGTGTAAAGCAGAAGAGGCTCCAAGGAGGGCACATAGACTAGGAACACTGCATTTGCATGGGAAGAGAGCCCTGCATGCAAACAGCAGTGGCTGTAGCATTACTTCCCTCTGCATCACTGTATGGCCTTTTTCTGTGATTTCCCCATCCTTGTGGATGTCACAAACCTTCTTTAGACTTGATTTCAGAACAAAGAAATCCAGCTTCCTCTACCACTCGCTCCTCCAGGGATTTCTTTCCCATCCCAAAGTTCCTCAGCGCAGAGAGTGAAAATCTCCTCAGCTCCTTCCAGACATGCCCATATCTTGCTACAACAATCCCTGGAATTGTGGATGAGCAAGAAATGTCAGATACCTAGCTTGTGCATCAAGTGAAGCGTGCTGGAGAACAGCAATTGTGAGTCTGGAGGTACAGGTCTGTATGGATAGATGAAAGAGTCTGACCTTGTGCAGCTTGTTCAGACAGCAATTCAGAAAAGGATCACTGCACCTTCTAAAGCTTGTGCATGGCTGGCAAAGGTGCAGGGGGATTCAAAGGGAGCAACAAGGGCTGCTAAGGATAAAGCAATCACCTCTCCAAAGCATTCAGCATTGTTCCCATAGCTTGTGTGAACTGGGTAGCAGCATGTGCCACCACATAGGAGCTGAGGATGTGATGTGGGCAGGATGTAGGAAAATACTCTGTCTTGAATTAAATTATCATATTTTTTGCAACAACTTACACGTACCATTTTCCATAAGCATTTTCTCTTACATAAGCACTGTAAGTACTAATTTGTGGCTGTTGGGAGCTGGGTTGTACCATTTACAGTGTCCTTACACAGCTGAAGAAGTGTGTGATTGCTGGAGCTCTACTACAGCCATGAAGGGGAGCCCCCCTTTAATCAAATCCAAGTTTATCACCACCAAAGGGTGCCAGACATGCAAGGAGGTTGACCAGGGGGACACACAAAGGTGCAGTGCACTGAGAAAATCTTGCCTCTACCCAATCCTTCCCTTGCTAGTGCCATCAAGGAATATCCATTGTCATGGGACTTGCCTTCACAATTCTTTCCATAGCCCATATGTTCATATATTGGAAAGTGTGGCCGGTCAGCAAAGTCCTCTGATTTGTGGACCAGGGCTTCCTTCACTGCTTTATACCCATTCAGCACTACCACGTTGGTCCAGCAGTTCTGGAGACTGAAGATGTTTCCAAACTTCTTCTGAAGCTGCCGAGATAAGAAAGCATGTCTGTTGCGGTTTGAATTTATTTTATTGATGCTTTGTTATGTGGTTTGTTCTGTTGTACCCCCATGTTCTCCCTGAGTTAGTGTTACCCTTCCTCAAAGCTGTCCCTCATGCCATTCCCTGCCCCTTGTTCCAGCTGTTTCCCTGCCTGTCATGGTAAACCAGCCCTTGATTCCCAAACCTTCCCTGCCACTTTAACCACTTAAACCTGGTTCGTGTCATGGCTTGTGTCTGGCACCTTAGAGCAAGTGGCTCTAAAGGTTCTGCCTCTGGTAAATCCCTGTACCGAGGCAGTTCCCCACTCCGGGCATGGCACCGGAGTTCCAAGAGCTGGCCCAGGCTCCGGCAGTTGCTTCCCATGTCCCTGAAAATGAGCTGAGTGTAAAGTCAGAAATATCACCATATCTTTCTTTAGGGCATTTACTACTGAGTGAACTTTGAGGTACTTTTCTTCAGAGATCTTCAGCTGATCTTTGACCTTGAACTTTGCAATGTATCAGCTCCAAACAGTGCCAAGCAGCAGCTGTAGCAGGATCAATGCCCTGTAAGTGGAAAAATTTAGAACACACCTATCCTGGCCAAACTGTTGTCATGAACATTGTGCGAGTATTTTTAATTTTGTCAAGAACCTTTGTGGGAATTTTTAAAGACTGCATGCTCAATAATGAATTATTTCCTAATGGTTCTATTTATTTTGATCTGAAAGGCTAAGTAAGTTCTCAGTTAGTGTACTTCTGCTGAAGGAAGTATTGATAATAATGTGATATGTAATTTGCATTTAAAGATGCATTTGTAGCTAAAGATCTACCCAAGGACAAGTTTCCACAAACATGGTTGGGAAAGGCAATTCCACACTGGAGTTCCAGGTCAACTTTCTCCCTAAGAAGAGTGTACATATCTAGTACAACTGGTCACTGGAACCCTACATCTGCTGTGATCTGTGAGCCTCATAAAGCTGAATCAGGATGGCTGCACAGGTAATCCTGTCAGCTCCATGGGAGCTGGCCATGGAGCAAAGCCTTCTCCAGGTAGACAAGCCCTTTAATGGGACATGGACTCCTGGGGTAGGCAGGTCAAAGCTCCCTTGCTAGTCAGGAACACTGAGCATATCTCAGAAGCACATTGTTTTAAGACAGTGCAAGAGTAGCAATACCCCACAGTTTTCTTCTACTTTTTTTTCCTGTCTTTTTTTCTTTGTTTAAAAGCTAAGATTCTTGATTTCTTCACTGTAGCATTGAATGGAATTGAAGTACCTACTACTGTATTTGCAGTAGGGTTGAAAAGGGGATTAGCACTTAGAAATTCTAATTAGAAATACATCAGTAAAAATGATTACTGGTCAAGACTGTGGTTAGTATGACCCTGACATGAAATTATTTGAAAATGGGAAGCTTTTGGTCTACATGCAAGCAAATCATACAAATGCTGTATTTAGTTTCTCCACTTGCAGGTTTTGGACATGCTGTTCTAGAAAAGAGGCCTTTAGGGTTTGCAAGGTGAAGAACAAAACACCTGTGGTTTATCTGCTGCAGGCTGTGAAAGCCCTGCCTTCCCTTTGCGAAAAGGTAAGCACTGACTTTAAATAGGAGCCTACTGAGATTTTGGGCATTGCTGCAGGGGCAAATCCCACAAGCTGGTCTCTTTAACTGAAAATGTGACATGCTTGCAGGCATGCTTCAGTAACTCCCAGGAAAGCCTGCCATTCCTGCAGCCACATTCCCAGCACACAGATATTTGTTTGTCTTCCGTTGTTTGCACAACCCCCTGCTCCTTTGCCTCCAGGCCTGCCCACAAGTAGGGTTGGCAGCCAGCTCTACAGCAGCCCCTGTCACTGGGGCACAGCAGTGGTCGCCCACTGAGCTCATACAGCAATGGGGAGATAGAGGTTGGGAAGTGTTGGTGCACAACTATCTCATTGTCTGTGTGGGGCAGGTTAGTGTCCTTGAGCAGTGACTTGCTTCATACTGGACTTTGGAAAGGGTAGTGATACTGTAGTTGGCTGGAAATAAACGTTCCAACATAATCTGAAGTATTAGAAAGCAGATATGCTTTACTGTAGCACACGACTCCTCTCATAGAATGAGTATCATGAAATGCCCTTTACAACAGGGTATTTATTGCATCATGAACATACATATTCATAGCAGCATGCTTCCCAGCTACTACATAGATATCCTTTTCCTAGGACTTATCAGCACCCATCTGCCTCCTGCTGGAAGTCCTTTCATGGTCCTAGAGGGTCACTGAAACCTGTCTCTGGAAGTCAGACTCGCTGAGTGATTCAGTATTACATGTTCCCTTGAACATTTTCTTTGGTCATGTGTGCGTTTCTTGTTACATAACTTGCCAAAACCCCCATCATATTCCTCATTATCTGTTTATCTGCTGTTTCCATGTTTATCATCCTGTGTGCATACTTTTACATCCCTTTACCTTTTTTTGCTAGTTAGTCTTAAAGCTTTCTCTAGCAATTTCAGGGGAAAGGAACATTCCTGTTCTCCATGGTATGTACCTGTAGCTGGTGCCAGGGTGTGACCCAACCCTCCTGGGCCCATGGTGGATTGTATGTGGAGGGTTTTGCTCAGAGGCTGGCACTCACCTGGCCGAAGGAGCGGTGGGGGTTGTGGAAGTCAATGGAGAACATGGTCCCGATGAATGGCAGCGAGGCTGGGCCCGGCGGGTAACGGCTCCACTTCTTTCTGCGCTTCATGAAGTCAAGCAGTAAAGTAAACACTGTAAGAAAGAGCCCCAGTATAGAGATGTTGCTCCAGATGGATGACAGCTGGGACCCCAGCCACAGGAGCAATGCCATTTTGTAGCCTGTCTACGACTTGTTTTTCCTCTTTTGACCCAAGACTGTTGCTGCCTCCTTTTGCCTTTTCTCTTCTCCTCTCTCACTTTCTTGCCCTTACAGCTGCTCGTTTCTCCTTGCTTCCTCCTCTTCCTCACACTGCCTTTTTCTGCTGCTCCTCTCTCCCTGCACTAGCTGGCTTTTAGATATGAACCTTGGCTCTACCTCTAAGCTCCTCCTCTGCTTAGCTCAGTCTTAGGGGAGTGGTGATGAGGGACATCCCTCCTCCTCCCCCTCTTCTTCATCCAAGGCCAGAGCTCAGAGTCCTCTGTTGCTGCTGAAAGTGGCAGCTGGTGCTAACAGTGAACTCAGTGGGGCGGGGCTGGCTGAGCCCTGGGTGTTTGGGTGCCTTCTGTCACAGACGAGGAGAAGTTCACAAGCAACCAGTCCTGCTGCATTCTCATGGGACAGTTTGGAAAGAGGTTGTTTAAATGTGTGTCACCTTCTTGTTAGTACAGGCAAGTCAAGGAAGAAGCAGCTCCTAAACACAGATCATACAGGTTTCTCTTTGCAGGCTAAAGAGGGAGTTCCATTGGAACTTGAGAGAATTCAAGTTAGATCAAACATTCCCTTACAGAAAGCACTTACTACAGCAGTTAGCTTGGAACCATCCCCTGAGATTTTAAAAATAATTTATGTTTCTAGGATTAAAAATTTTTATCAAACTTCAAGTGTCAGTCAGCACAATGACCTCAGCTTCTGTGGAACACAGCTCAGCTGCAAGAAGAAGTCACATGTGTTACAAGGTGCCTCAAATATCCAGCCTTTGGGGCAGTAGTAATGCCAACACAATTATGGAGTCAGTCAAAGTGTTTTCTAAAGCAGCACACCTGTGTGCTCCTGGCATCCCTGCCATTGGAGATCAACAAGCCTTGCTCTTAGGACAGTCAGCTCTAGATAAAAAGAAGCAGTAAACCCATCACAGCTTGATCTGTGATCTCAGTGTGATCAGAGGAAAGCCTCCTAATGTAACAGTTGCTGCAGCAGTGATGGAGAGCTCGGGCTGCAGGGCAGTGCGCCTGCAAATGCTGTGCAGGCAGCGCTGGTGTGCAGCCAGGGCCTCCAATGCCCTTTGCCCTGCCAGAGGAGCCACCTCCATGCTCATTGTCTGTGTGCTGAACTTACCTTGCTGGAGTGTCCACAGCAGAATCCTGTTTTGAGAGCATCATGACTCAGGGTGCAGGGCTGGTCTCAAGTAGTTTGAAACAAATATGTAGAACGGGGAACAACTGGGGGGAATACCAGCTCCCACACAACTGCAGAGCTGTGATTTCTTCTGAGTTACAGGGACATACCAGGGTAGATCACACACCTGGAGAGCTGCGCCATTGGGCACAGTGTCTTCAGGAAGGACAGGCTGGAAACAGTGAGGAGTGGTTGTGAGCTGTGCAGAGGAGTGCCCAGAACGTGGCCATGCGAGAGGTGATGGGCCATCTGAGTGCCTCTGGGCAAGGAGAAGGTGGCAAAGCACTATGGGGAGTGATGGGCCAGGCACTCACTCACAGACTTCTTGGGAAAGGAGAGAAAGTCAAGAGAGCCATCCCACACAATCACAGGCCTTAGGGCTAACTCAGTGCGCTTTAACTGAAGGCCTGCATGGTCAGGCACAGTCTGGGACGTTTCTTGAGGGTGCTCAAGACAGCTTCATGACACAGCTGATTGAGTAGACAACAGGAGGAGACGCTGTGCTGGGTTTGTTGTTCACAAAATAGGAAGAATTGGTTCAGGATATGATGGTCAATGATGAATTTTGCCTGTAGCAACCATGAAACTGTGAAATACTAAATCCTGCAAGAAATCAGCAGTACAAACAGCATTACTGCCCTTACCTGCAGGAGAACAGGTTTCATTTCATCCAGGGATCTCCCTGAGAGAATCCCAAAGGGAACTGCCCTGGAGAGTGGAGGAACTGCCCAGGAGAGCTAGTTGTTCTTTGAGGGCAACCTCCTCAAAGCATGAGATCATTCTGTCTCATTTATTTCCTGGACACTGCAAAGCCTTTAACACCATTTTCTACAGTACCAGGGTAGCTGATAAAGTGGGTGGGTGATTGTTCAGATTGTGGGGCTGAAAGAAGTGGGATCAACAGTACAGAGTCCAGCTGGTGGATGATCACCAGTGACGTCCCTTAGGTGTTTATACTGGGGCTGACAAACTTAAGGTTATTAAGTTATTATGGGTGATGGGACAGAGAGCACTCTTGGCAAGTCTGGCCTGGGAGAGCTGCCAGAGCTGAACTCTGTTTGCAGTGTAGCCTGGCAGTTGTTGGCTTTTGAGTACCCTCCACATTTCAGACAGCTCTAGTGTGAGGTCTCAGGAGACAGAGCTGCAGCAGTTCCCTCCTCAGTGGGCTGGCTTGAGCAGATGGCTGAATGGGAAATGGTGATCAAGGGCTTCTTCCCACATTGATTTTCATGACACATGCACTCAGATGACAGAGGAAAAATGGGAAATGTGGCCCCAGGAATGTCAGTGGACATTTCCTCATCACCCCACCAGTAAAAGGATGCTACCTTGCCTGTTTCACTTTAGTTTGAGCCTGACCTTTATGAACTTCAGCAGAAAAATATTCGCCTAGGTCCTTTCAGTTTTACTTACCCTGGCTAGAGCCAAAGAGCCAAAGGCTGTTGGACTCCCATCATTCACCTGGGGACTCTAACAGGGATGGTTGATCAGAATTGATTTAATTCTAATGAACATCACCCTTCTGATGGAAGGCCATCAGAATAGGAACTCTCCAGCTACTCTGCTTCCTGTGGCTCAGCCTTGACATAAATTGACACAGCTGTAACCTGAGAAATGCACCAGCTTAAGGAAAAGACCCCTACACTGGCACTGACTTCCCAATTGACATCTTTCCAAAAGGTCACTTGGTAAATGATCCTTTCCTGCAAACTTGACAGCTCCTCCACTTTTGGCTAGTAGCATGGATGGCCAGGCCTGCAAAGGAGTGGAACAAGCGCTATAGCTTCATCGTTGCAAAAGAACAGCTTTCAAAGCCAGCAAAGAAACAATAGACAACAAATCTCTTTCTGACACAGAGAAAAAGGGTCATTACTCTTCTGAAGGATGAAAGATGATGATTTGCATTTCTTTTCAATAAAGTAATATTTTGAGCAATTTACAAGTCAGAGAAAAAGCCCTCCAAATCCATAAATATTAATTTTAGCTAACTGCTGCCCCACTGTGCTGGCTGCATATCTTTGACAGAGCACAGTGAATTTAGAGATGAGCCAAGTGGAATTACAGAAGTTGCATGCAGGCATTACCATTCTTTGAGTGAAGGCACTGAAATACAAAAAGGCAACTTCAAGAAAAAACTTATTAATCTTGCAAAACAAAGCATCCAGAACCAATATAATGCAAGAGTTGCCATTTTAAAAAATTTAGGCAACTTTAGTTGAGCATTTTTGTCCATATTGTCCATAAGATCAGATTTAATTATAATTACATGCTGTATTTCCTTTTTGAAGGACCTTCCCTGTATTCAGTGCTCAGAGTAGATGAGGATCACTTACTAATCTGATTTTAATTATGGCTTTTGTCTTCCAAGTCTGTTTTGCACCTACTGTTCACACCCTGCCCATAAAGGTGGTTTAGATGGGCTTTTCCACAGTGATCATCAGTGCCTGCGTGGGTGAGGAGCAGGTGGTCATTTGTCCCCAAAGCGTCCCTCAGAGATGCCACCAATGGAGGCAAATGACCTTCTAGGGGTTGGAACTGAGTGTAAAAGTCTAGAAGGTTCCACACACAGCTGTCCACAGCACATGGCCAGCTCCCAGCTGAGGCTGCAAGCAGCTTCTGCAGATCTTCCTGCAGGATCACAGCTTTGGCACCCTGGACATGGAGGTCAGAGGTCAGTGCCTGGTTATGAAACCTGCTGTTTCAGTAATTACCCAGCACCACATACTTCTCTCTCCACAACGGTGGGTGAAACCCTTCCAATGGCCAAAGAGATGCTCCTTCTTCCCTCCTTCCTTCTTTGCTCCAAGTCTGGAGCCAACCAGGAAGCACTGGTCACATAGCATGAATATTTCCATGAGCTTCCAGAAATTTTTTGTCCAAATCCCATCAGGCTGACTGCTTTCCCCTTCACGCCTCAGACGTGGATGGACACAAACCTCAGCAATTTTCCCTTCTGGAGAAGCAAAGCCTCTTGCAAGAACATTGGTTAGTGTGAAGCCTGCTGCTCTCATTCCATGGCTATCCGTCTCCCAGGCTACAGCAGAGCTGGGGCTGGTGAAAATCCCAGAAACCTTTCCTCTTTGGTGGCCTCTTCTAAGGCAAAACCCCCATGGTCTCCCACCTAGTTCCAGATTTTCTTTTAACATTCCCCCACATTCTTTTTTCAGCACACAGTGTCTCTTTTGCCAGTTATGCCTTCACTCAGCTGGCTTCCCCCTGACCATTTTGGTGCTGGAATGGGCAAGGGGTGCGTGGCAGAGACCAGCTTCACACTTGTCATTTGCCCTTAGCAGCCCTGGCAGCCAGCAATAACCAGCACCTGCTCCACTCAGACATCTTGGGGGAGTTTTAGATGAAGAACTGAGAGCTCTATCAGGTGCACACAAACTGGGTTTTCAAGTGCTTGTAGCAGAGCCAAGTTTGAGCACAGTTTTAGAGAGCTGCTGCAATGTGTCTTCCTAACAGAAAGCTGCCTCCTGCCAAATTTTGCCTGTAATGCTTCAAAGCATTCAACTGAGACAGGAAAATAGCACCAGAAATTTTTCTAATGGGTTTGGAGAAGGTCATATAAACAATGGATTTCTAAGAAAGATGTCAGCCGTTAGAAAGGCATGAACAAACTTTTGGCTGAATGTTCCCAAACAAGTTTAGCCTGAAGCACAACTCCAGCTCTGGAAATTTTAGTCTCAGCTGGTTCATTGTGACTTTCTTGGCCTTCAGACAGGGATTTTAAATATTAGAAGTATTTCTACAGCCTTAAGATGGACTGTGCTAACAGCTTGTTCATAATAAAGCAGTCAGCAGAAGTGAAATAGCCAAGTCTTTCATAGTTACTGCTACTATGACTTACTGCCAGCCTTCCCACATTGCAAAGAAATCTGTTCTTCAGGTTTTTCTTCCTTAAATTCTCCATGGCTTCCTACCCTTTTCCCTATATCAATCACAGCAGGTCACTTATCACCAAAGTGAGTTGT